TGCACAGACTTGGCTCTGCCCTCCAGGTGAGCCTGAGAAACAAAAGCAGGCAGAGATTGTCAAGTGCAGGGAGCTCGACATTAACAGGGAGCGCCAGGCCGTAGTGCCAACTGCCACCCACTGAGCGCTGCTCCATTCCAGCGGCCACCCCAGCCCCAGCAGGTCCCCATGGCGTGCTCAGCATCCAGCACACAGCCCCGGCTTTGGGCACCTCTGCCTGCAGGCAGGCCAGGCCGGGCGGCGTGCAGATGTGGCTGGCGGTTGGAGACCCTTCGGGCATCTTTCCTCGAGCTCATGGCTGGGCTGTGACCATACCCCGGTTGCCCCCACGGCCTTGTTAAATGAGGAAATGGGACCAGTGAAAGAAGCCAGGCACCCCCTCTCCAGACACCAGCTCAGGGGTGGGTGTCTTGGTGACTCAGGGCAGAACTCCTTGGGACGAGGGGCAGGGTGGCTGGCTGTGCCCAGAGTGCCACCAGTGTCCCAGGGCCCTCATTTACCCCAGAACTTCCGTGGCCTCACTGCTGGAGCCAGGTCCCATTGTCGTGCCAACCAGAGCAGCTGCTGGTGAGCCCCTTGGCCAGCCGGGCATCTGGTTTGGTTTTGTTGGGTTGCATGGGGCGGGGTGGGTCTGGTTCAGCTGTAGAACAAGCACTTCAGGGAACACTGTCCCCTGGGCAGGCTGGCCTCTGAGAGGCCGCAGGCTCGGTCCCACCACGGTCACACAGAATCCTTTCCCTGTCCCGCTGTGCGTCCCCATAGCTCCTCCTGGGCCTCACAAGAGGGCACTGTTTTGTTGAGCATGCTGGAAGCTTGGAGAGGCCTGCATAAGGCGAGCCTGTTGGCGCCAAGTTCCCAGGAGCGTGCAGGCCTACTACCGGCCCCCACGGCACAGACACACTGGTTCTTCTCCCCGCCTTGTAAACGCCATCGCCCTGCCTCCGCTCATTCATTCCCTTTTCTACAGGCTCTACAGCATCCTCATGCTGCCCTGGCCTGGGTGTGGCTGTCAGGCTGGGGGAGATGCCCCGCTGTTTTCAATGAGGGGGCAGCTCTCTGAGGAGCTTCCGGACTCAGAGAGCAGAGAGAAAGGAAGAGAAAACTCAAGGCTGGAGGTGCACGAGTGAAGGATTCTACAGACACTGCTCAAAGACCCAAGCAGCAGCAAAAGAAGACCAAAGGATGACCACCACCACCAGCACCAAATCCTCATTGCTTACGCCAACCCTCAGTGACCCCAGAGGACGGAATCGTAGAACTGCCCCTGTGTGTTTCTGAGACGAGGGTAGAAGGACCCTGAAGAGCAGCTGGTGGTTTCAAAACGATGACCTTAAAGTTAGCAGTCCGACGTGTAACCACCATGCCACCAGGGCTCCTGTCCACAGAAAGACAGAGAATGCCAAAAGCTGTGACGGGCATGCATCTGTTTCAGGAGGGGAGTGTGACCCCAGAGCCCCAAAGAGCACTGAAGGTCACTCAAGATGTAAAGAAAGAAGTTTCCAGAAACAGTCAGAATTGGGATGTTGCAACAAATGAACGCAGCACTGGGAGCTCTGTAATCTTTTGTATTCTCTATATACTCACAAGTCTGTGCCGCTGAGAATGATGGGGGCAACAAATGTACAAATGTGCTTGACACAATGGAGATATGGATGGATTGTGATAAGAATTATACAAGCATCCAATAAAATGATTTTTTAAAAATCTGTGCCAAAAAATTTGGAAGACAGCTACCTGGCCAACCCACCGGAAGAGAGCCATGTTTCTGCCCATTCCAAAGCGAGGGCCCACCAGAATGCAAACATCACCGCACAATATCAGTAATAGCACAAGTACACTGGAAAAATATCTATCTGTGTTTGTTTGTTTGTTTGTTGACTATACAAAGGCATTCAGCTGGGTGGACTATAGCACTCCATGGATAACATTGCAGAGAGCAGGCATTCATTCCAGAGCACTTCAGTGTGCTCAGGGAGAACCTGCAGCGGTTCAGGGGCAGTTGCCTGAGCACAACAAGGGACCCTGGATGGCTTACACTGGGGACAGATGTGCGGCAGGGGGGCCGGCTGTTGCCATACTTCTCCAGCTAGTGTGCTGAGCCAATAATCGGAGAAGCTGGATTCTATGAAGAAAATACGGCATCGGGATTGGAGGAAGCCTCGTTAACCTGTGACATGCAAATGATCCAACCTTGCTTGAAGCGCGGACTTGTGGCCATCCAAGACTCCTGCCAGGGCCGATGGCACATCAGCATAAAGAAATCAAAAGTCCACCACCGGACCAAGAAGCACGTCACGAAAAACAAAATACTGGCGTCGTCAAGGATTTCATGTCTACCGGATCCATGGTCGATGCTCACGGAAGCAGCAGTCGAGAGCCACGCGGCACACTGCACGGGGAACCTGCCGCACGGCGTCTGTTCTGTCACAAGCAGAGTCATGCTGAGGACTAAGGTAGGCCTGACCCAAGCTGTGGTATTTTCCATCACCTCACGTGCAAGCAATAGGGAAGACAGGCGGGCAGACGGAAGCATTTCAGGTCTGGTGCTGGGGAAGGACAGAGTAGACAGTACGTACCACGGACGGCCAGAGGACAAACAGGTCTGTCTGGGAGGCAGTACTGCCAGCGTGCTCCTTAGAAGTGAGGCTGGTAAGACTTTGTCTCAGGTACTTTGGACACGTTGTGGGGAGAGACCAGTCTCTGGAGGACATTGTGCTTGCTAAAGGAGACAGGCAGCGAAAAAGAGCAAGGCCCCTCGACCAGGTGGATGCACACAGTGGTTGCAGAGACCAGTCTCTGGAGGACATTGTGCTTGCTAAAGGAGACAGGCAGCGAAAAAGAGGAAGGCCCCTCGACCAGGTGGATGCACACAGTGGTTGCAACCATGGGATCCGACACAGCAGTAAGTGGGGGGATGATGCGGGGCTGGGGGGTGCTTTGCTCTGTTGTCTGCAGGGTCGCTGTGGATTGGAACTGACTGGATGGCCCCGAGGCCAGCTGCATCACCTGTCACTTCTATCAGACTTGTCACCCAAAGCCTGGTCCTCTTGGAGGGCGCCAGCGGCCTTGTGGCACGTCATCATACGTTGTAAGTCCCAGGCTGCCCTCGGCTTCCATCTCCCCCTCAAAGCCAAGCGCGTTGACTCCTGAGACCAGCTGAACCAGCCACGGAGCCTCAAGAGGTGAGGCTCTCGGCCACGTGGAAGCCGACTGGTCGAGAGAACTTCTCAACAGGTGTCTCACATCTCCAGCAGGTGGGACAGGGCTCAGCAGCTCAGGCAGGACTCAGAAAGGGGTCCTTGGAATAGTTTCTCTAAAGCCCAAAGCCTCTACAGCAGCGGTTCTTGACCTGTGGGTCGCAACCCCTTTGGGAGTCGAATGACCCTTTCACAGGGGTCGCCCGATTCATAACAGTCACAAAATGACAGTGATGACGTGGCAATGAAACTAATTTTGTGGTTGGGGGGTCACCACAACACGAGGAACTGTATGCAAGGGTCTGGCCACTAGGAAGGCTGAGAACCATTCACTGCGTTTTCTTCAAAGTGCATTCTCATTCACATCCTCACCCACAGAGGTCCGGCCTCCGAGACGCCCAAGCCCCCAGAGGGCCAGGCTGAGCCACCTTGCCAGGGCGCCCCACCCCCACCCCCCTACCCCCAGAGGACAGCCTGGCAGCACACAGGCTCTCTGGAAAGAGTTTTTTCATGCACAGACAGGGTAGGCACAGTGGCGGGTGCAGCCCAGGTTCACACTGAGAAATGCAGGCTGCACATGACCTGGCAGCAGCCAATTCCTCGCCAGATCCATGAAGGGGCGTGTTCTCCCCGACAAAAAGGGTAGCCCCGCCTCTACCAGGAGGGAACCCCAGGGAACAGGAACCAATGAGGCAATGCTGGGTAGATGATGGGGAGGGGGGACACCTGCCCAGGAAAGTGGGTGATGGTGGTGGTGGAGGTGCCCACAGGGAAGCTCTGTGTACAACAGGCCAAATGCAGGAGAAAAGTGCTCTTGCCCCCTGCCTGCCCCACCTTGCCGCAGGGTGCCTGGGCCGGCTGACTCAAAACTGTCTGAAGTGCACCCAAGGGCCTTTGCTCACTGAGACAATTCGTGTTGTGAAATAATGACGGGGTAGTCAGAGGGGGCTTCAAAACATTCGTGGGAAGAAAAAAGAAAGAATTAAAAGAGGGTGGCACTTCCCCTATGAACTCTTTTTTGGTTTTCCCCTATGTTTGGAAATGAACTTGTCCGTCCCTAGACTCCAAGTCCACCTCCGTGTTTTTTTCAGCCCTCCAACCAATATTTAGATCCAAGGGGTACGGAGCCTGGAGGGTTCTTAAGGCCGAGGGCCTTCACCCTCTTTTAAACTTCACTTCTTTTGTGTTTTTAAAAGCAACGCCTCCACAGAGGGACTCGGTGCTAATGCCCCATGAAACCCCCATCCATGCGATGCTCTGGTTTCCCCGCTCACCCTTCTTCCCACCCTCTGTAATTCCCATTACCTTTGGAAGCCTGTCTTCCTCCCACCCAGGCCCCCACCCATGTGCCCAGATAGAAAATCCAGAAACGACCTGTAGTGAAAGGGGACGGTCCTCCTAGCTCTGAGAGGTGGAGTCTGTCCGTAGATTGCACTGCATGACCCAGAATAAAGAATGCGGCAGGGTCCCTTCCATTCATGGGGAGAGGTTCTCCGGCAGGAGTCTGGTCTGTCACACAAGTCCTTGTGGTGGTTGTTGACAGAGGCTCTGGGGCCAGTTCTGAAGCAGAGCAACTCAGTGTAGAACCAGGCCCAAACACTGCCCGGTCCTGGGCCTTCCTCACACTCTCTGCCCCATCTTTGAGCCCAGGGTTGTAGCCACCGTGTCCATCCATCTCCTGGAGCACCTTCCTCCCTCTCTGCCCCTCCACTTGACCAAGCCGGATGTCCTTCTCCCGGGACTGGTGCCTCCTGACAAGGTGCCCAAAGCACACGAGCTCAAGCCTCACCCTCCTCGCTGCCAAGAACCCTTCTGGCAGACTTCTCTGTTCTGCTGCCAGTCCGTGGTTAGTGCAATATTCTCCAATGACGAAAGGCCCCTGATGCTGCCATGCCGCCGCCTGCCTTCCTCGCCGCCGGCTTTCACATGCAAAGACCGACCGTGGTTTCTGTCACGGGCCCCTTCGTTCCCCAACGTGGCCCCTGTGCTCTTTAACTCAACGGTTCGTTCTTATGCCACCGATGCTGCCACTCCAAGGTGTCCTTGGATCGCCGGGCAACTGCATCCAGGACGTGGACTGTAGATCCAAGGAGAGTGAGGTCCCCCGAGACGTCACGGTGTCTCTGTCTGTCATGATGCCGCGTGGGGAAGACCTTGGTTTTCTTGATCTCCGTGGGCCGTCACACGGAAGCAGTCCTGCCGGATCTTCATCAGGCCAGCAAGGTCGGTGTCATGGGCGGGTCTCGGTGTCATGGGTGGGTCTCGGGTTGTTCAGAAATCTTCCTCCAGTCTTGACGCCCCATTCTTCGTCCTGTCACCCTCCTGCTCCGATGATTGGCTGGACACATGGATTGGAGCCATAGAGAGAAAGGCTACCGCCCTGGCCCACCCCTTCCTTGGATGGAAACCTTTCCATCTCGCCTTGGTGAGGAGCCCCAGGGGTGCAGTGGATCGTGTTGCTAACCGCCAGGTCGGCGGTTCAAACCAGACAGCCACTCTGCAGGAGAACAAGGAGGCTGCCTGTGTGCCCGTAAAGATGTGCGGCCTCAGAAACCCTCCATAGGGCTGCTCAGAGCTGGCATGGCGCTGGGTTTGGGTTGGTCATTTAGTGATGAACGAACTCCCCGTGATGTCCTTTCTACTGAAGTGCAGCCTCAGGTGGGCATCTCAAGACAGCAGGAGCTGGACATGGGGGTCCGGTCTAGGGAGGCTCAACCAAGAACAGGAGGCCTAGACTCTAGAGCCCCAAAATAGTAGTGAGAACCTCCACGGGGGGCATCAGCCTTTCCGCCCACACTCATCTCTGGACCGGGATTAGGCAAGCAGGAGCCTGACATCACCAGTAAGCTGTCACCAATGGGTGCCCAAGGTTCAGCCAAAGGACCAAGGGGCTCAGGGAACCCAGGCCTCACCCAGGCCAGACCGCTATGTGCCAAAGAGCAGCTCAGGAACACCCCTCAGTGATGACAACTGGGTTTCAAATGTAGGTTTCAAACTGCCTTACCCCACAGCTCTGCTCCCCTCGCCGGAGGAGTCAGACTCCTGGAGACCCTCTAGGCCAGAGCAGAACTGCTCCAGCTTTCTCCTGCCTGGGGGCTCGGGGGCTCGAACCACTGGTCTTTTGGGGTGCAGCTACTGTGCCTCCAGAGCACCTTCCAGCGTTTCTGGGAGTGCCCGGCCAAAAGCCTTTCCTTTTGGGGAGTGTTGCTAAGTTTGGGGAAATGAACACCATCGAACAAAAACTTGCTCTCTGCACAGGGGGCGACACACCCCAGGTGGACGGATGCGCTCAGTGTCACTGACTGAATTGTATGGGCAAAAGGGGGCTGAAGTGCACGTGGGATGGAGAATCAGCCACAGTTCAAAGGTACGTTAAAGTCTTGACTCGCTCCCTGGCCGGAGCATTCGGGGACCATCAAGGCAGGCTGGCCTCGGGCCTGCTTCCCAGCGGGGTGGTGTGAAAAGCCGTCTTGGAGAAGTACAGTTTGGAGGCTAGCTCTTTTCCCCACACCCAAGAGGGATTCTGACCCCAGCCATCCGGCCCTCACCCCACAGTGGGAGAGTTCCGGTGTGGCTGATGGTGGTGGCTCACTCGATGGACCTGTTTAATGTCACCAAACTCTACTCCTGACAAAGACTGAAAGGGGTGGCGGGAGTGGGGGGGGGCATTCCATTACCAATGTCTTTATCAACAACAACAAATTGTAAGGACCCCACTCAACCGAGATGCTGCCCCTGGGAGAAGCTGAGAGCAAACCGTCCCTTCCCACACTCGTGGGTGCCACACTTGTAACCACAACTCAACGCTCCCCTCCCTTTCATTAAAAAAAATAAAATTCATTATTTTCTTTCTTGTTTTAATGGCGATTTTTAAAAAATTGTAAATTAGGTGGGGTTTACACGTCAGATCATCAGCTTAGTGTTCAACAGTTTAAACTGCTCGGGAACCCGCCTCCCCCACCTGCCCTTTCAGAGCCAGCACGGAGCCCTCTCTACGCCACCCCTCCAAAATGCGGCGGCAGGACAAGGGAGGTAACGCTCCCCACTCTCAGTGTCCCCCCATGGTGTGAATATACAGCCTGCCTGTATTTTCCCATTCTACGCCCTTCAAAATGAAGACATCTGCTCATAACACCATCAGGAAACTTGCAAAAAAAAATCTTGCTTTCTCAAACATTAAAAGTGCTATGTACATCAGAGTCTGCAAATAAATAACTTTCTCTGCTATCAAGCTTAAGGGGGGGGGGGCGGGGGAAAGACGATCAGAACTGATTCTGAACCGAATGTGGGTCCCTTCCGGCTCCTGGTCCCACAAACAATCAGCAACTAAAAGACGGGCCTAACCGCCAAAGCTGTGACCTATTGGGGCAGGTGTTAGCCCAGGGCGGTAGGAGAACCGGATGTCAATCAAAATGAAAACCACCCAGAACTCACTGCCACCAAGTCCAGTCCAACTCACCGCGGCTCTGGGTGACCAGTCAGAAGGCCCCTGTGCGTTTCTGAGACTGTCAGTCTTTACGGGGCGCAAGTCCTCAGCACTTTCCCTATACCAGCTGGTGGGCTCGGACGGCATCCCACCGTGCCACCAGAACTCCTAAGACCAGTGCCACTGGCAAGTGGACTCTGATTCATGGCAACCTGTCCAGCAGGCGCGAGGCTCCCCAAAGCATTTCCTAGGCTGTGCTATTCACGGGTTTCACTGCCCCGTCTTTCTTCCACAGAGCAGAAGGGGGTGGGGGGGTCAGCCAGAGCTCTAACCACTGTGACACCGGGCTTCCTTAAAAGTGGGAGCTGAAAAGCAGATTCTTCGGAAACATGCAAGGCTTTCTCCCCCAAACACACACCGTCCTTCCCGGAGTGGCCCGCTGCCCATGTGTCAGCCACACCCGGGGGTCCGGGCGCCAGCGGAGGCCGCAGTGTGGGCACTTACTCGTCGCCGTCGGGGCACAGGCCGGTGGCCTCGTCGTACTTGGCGCAGTACACGTCGGGGCTGTAGTTGAAGGTGCCATCGCGCCTGCGCAGCGGCCGGCGCCGCCGCTGGTTCAGGAAGTGCCAGTGGAAGCAGGTGAAGGGCCGGTGCTGCGCGCACTTGTGCTGCACGAACAGCGCGCAGCGCTCCGTGCGGAACTCCTTCAAGTACCTGTGGAGACAACGGGGCGAGGGGCCGAGAGTGGGCGACCAGACCTGCCCTGCCCCCCAGCCCAAAGCCCCATAACCCCATCCCAGGATCGCCCCCCAGGACCTAACCCGCAGCACAAGAGCACAAGGTCCTGTACCCCCAATTCCAGAATTAGGATCGGCTTTCCCCACCAGGGACCAAGGTGCAACCTGTGGCGTAGCCTGACTTTGGAGACGCCCCCTAGGCCCAGTATCCCCTTCTCAGATCACTCCCCTAGGACCCTAAGGGGTCCCCTGACCCCTCCTGACCTCAGCACTCAGGCTCTGCGCCCCTCAGCTCGAGAGTGGGTACCCCATCTCAGGATCGCCTCCCCTCACCAGGATCCTAGGTGGACCCCTAACCCAGCTCATACCTTCATCTCAGGATCGCAACCCCTAGGACCCAAGATGTGACCCCCCCTGACCCTGCCCTACCTCAGAAATGCTCCTTAGGCCCTCGGATTGTCACCCCCATTCTAGGATCAACCTCCCCTTCACAGGACCCTAGGTGCAGGGGTCCTCAAACTTTTTAAACAGGAGGCCAGTTCACTGTCCCTCAGACCCGTTGGAGGGTCAGACTATAGTTTTTAAAAAAAGCTATGAACAAATTCCTATGCACACTGCACATATCATACTTCGAAGTAAAAAAAACAAAATGGGGCAAAAACACCCGGTGGCCGGATAAATGTCCTCCGAGGGCCGCATGTGGCCCGCGGGCCACAGTTTGAGGACGGCTCAGACACAGTGACACCACCCAGCACCCACACACTCTGCACTAGGACCTAGGTGGGAATCCACCCACCACGCAGCCACCTTCGACCTCAGCCAAGCCCCCAGATCAAGACCTTTAAGTCCTGTACCCCGACCCCAGGTGTGGTCCCCAGGAAAGCGTGATTCTTGGACGCCAGATCCATCCCGCGAGCAGCGACAGGCCCGGGGTGTTCTCTGTGCTCCAGCCCAAGTGTCATTCCGCTCTCAGTGACAGCAGTCCATTCCACTGGCCGCCGTGCCCCCCACCCTCGGTACTGTACCCCGACTCTGACCCCAGTGCGCTTCAGAACCCAGGCACACCCCCTCGGACACAGGCGCCCCTCAAAATCCCAGGCACGCAGCCCAGGAGGGGCAGTTCAATTCCAGAGGGTCGCCTCTGGCCCCCAATCCCAAGCCCCTTCCCTGACCCCGCAAGCCCAGGTGCCACCCCAAAACCTAGGCATGCACCCCAGATTCCCGACTGCAGGCACCGCCCCCGACGCCAGGCGGAGTCCAGATGGCCGCCCCCACCCGCGACTCCAGCTGCCACCTGGACTTCAGACGCCGTCCCAGACCCCAGGCGGC